ATAACAATTTAGAAAAACAATTATAAGAAAACATCATCGAGTCACATCATTTCATAAAACCATAACCACATGTCTCAAAACCATATCATAAAAATAATAACAATGTCAGAGTACAATCCCAAGAATCTCATAATGCGGAAATCCTGTGTGTGTGATGTGCTGCTACTATGCCAACTCCTTCCCCTTCGATAAAGAGGTACCTGAAAACAAATCTAAAAACTGTAAGCACGAAGCTTAGTGAGTTCCTCCATCATACCACATACCACATAACAAACGTACTGCCAGACAATTATAGGGTGCCTGACCTACAATGTCAAGCAATTCTGGGGTACCGGTCTACCTTGTCTGGCAATTATGGTGTGCCGACCTACCCTGTTTGGCAATTTTGAGGTGCCGACCTACCCTCCGGTTTATCTCAACAGGCTACAAAGACTATTTCACCCCTACTACTACCACAAAATAACATAGTGTCGGTCATATCTGGGGTGCCCAACCTACCCTTCGAGCCTTACGATCGTAACACGGGAAATATTCCCCCATTACCTACTATCACATAACATCATATCATGCTAGCGCATAATCATAACAGATAACAACATACCAGATAATTATATAACATTTTATGTAAACCTTGATTGCAATGTAGATGATATGTGAATGCATGAAATGGTAATATTCTAAAATACTTTTGTTTGACATGCACGTGAAATGTCATTTTTTTGAAAATTGGTTTGGTTATAAAAGTAAAGAGCTTATATATTTTTGAAAATGATTAAAGCATCCTACTAGTGCATATCATGCTAGGATGAGTTGTGACTGTGAGATCCCATATAACAAATAGTGTTTATATATATATATATATATATATATATATATATATATATATATATATATATATATATATATCATTAAAGAATAAATTTCTAGATAATCCTCACATACACATGGATTCTCGCTACCCCTTGTGTGGTATAGAGTGGTTGTTCCCCTAATTTTCTAATCTTTGTTTGTTTTTATGGGAGAATAGTTGGTAGTGATTACTTGATGACACTAATCATATTATTTATGTATGATTTCACCACCCTTTTCGTGTATGGTAGGGTTATTGTGTTTTTTTGTATGGTAGGGTTATTGTGTTTTTTTTATAATATAATTGTTAGAGTTAAACTTTTAGGGCACGGAAGACCCTTTATTTTGATTGGGTTATTAAATCCCAAAGTTTATTCATTTTATTTGTTGGGTTTGGAGGTCTGATTCAAGTAAGTTCGATTTTCAACCCGTACTTTTAAATGAATTAGCCTTGGGTGACTCACTAGCTAGGAAAATTCATAGTCTAACTTATTTGATTTGTATTTAGATTGAAGGCTTTATATTGAGTTAGGTATGAGCTTGGATTTTTTTAAAACCAAAAAATGTAGTGTATGCTTGAATCTTGTTTTGATATGTTGATCGTTAACAACCTCACTAGTATTCAAACTTAATTGAAGTTTACCATTTCGTGACCAATAGATTTTATGCAAAAATAAACTCCCTGGACAATTACTGAAGCTCCACAGCCGGCGCAAACTCAACCCTAAACCTGTCCACAAAATATGACCAAGTCATAGCCTCAATGGCTGAGGCTCCCAGTGAATTACCAACTGACTCCCACTAATCTCTAGCTCTGTCCATTAAACAACCTGCAGCATACCAGACCTTCGACCCCTCAGGGTAGAAGCTCGTCAACTGAGCAGACTCCATGTCTGCAATCCATCTCCTGGCAGCAATGGGGTGCTTCACCTAGTGGAAGTATGGCGCACCACATCCCCTGAAGTCCTTGAAGGAGAGTGTACGGGCCCCTTTCTGGCCAGATGCCATGTCCCTCCCTGAGGCGATCCTCCATCAGCTCGATAATCACATCCTTGATCGACCCAAAAATCACCGGGGTCAACTCAAGGATGCCTCTCGTGATCTCATACGCGATGAACTTGCGTAGCCCCTCATCAATTGGCTCGGAACCCGAACCTGAACCTAATCCTAGTCCTGATCTTGATCCTCCTGCTCCGTGAGGCGTAATCACCACCATTCTGAAACAAAATACATAAGTATCAGGGTCATACATAATCTCGTGAGGTCCCATAGACTCTACAAGTTCCTCGGTTCTATCTCGACCCTCCTAGATTCGAGTACGGATCCTATGCTTTTCAGTAGTACATGCCCATACTACCTTCCACATCTATTCGTACTTTCCTCAAGGATATCTTCAAATTCACCAAGTCCCTTCTACTATAGTTGCACTTTGTGTTAGTCTCATAGGCTCACCCTAAGGTAACTCTCTAACTCACTCTCTGCCATCAGTTGCATAAGAAGTCTTTGCAACCTTCACGTAATTAGCTCGCGAATACCATTACATATCACTAAGACCAAGTAATTCTTCAAACGAGAGGTCCTACCCTACAATAGTTGGACTCAAACAAGAGCTACGAAATAGGGCTAGACCTAACCTTCTGAAATTATTTTATCCTCACAATATGTAATTTAATGTATCCGTTTACTAGTTAACTAAAGATAGCTAGAACTCCTAATAGCACAAAGCAAGCAACATTCAGGCATTGAGTAACCCAAACCAAGCATATTTTATCCAGGCTATCATATCACATATCTAATCAGCATTATCATACAGTTCAATAAGCATATACAATAGGCATCTCAGGCATCTTGCTAGATCCTTAGCTCTATTCTAGCACGCAGTTCTCATATACATACAATAGGCAAAAAAAGGCATCCTTCCTAGATCCTTAGCCTTATTCTAGTATTTAATTCTCATAATCATATCATAACATAACATAAATGTCTGGGTATCTTAGGGAAAACTTACTTGAGCTCGGTCGGTTGCACGCATCACACACCTTGTTCTTTCTCAAAACTCCTCACTTTAACTTTTGGAAAAACTATTTTCTTGTGAAAATCTTCCAAACCCTCGATTTGAGTTCATACACTACCGGAAGTGTGTCTGAATCCCTTAAACCAAGGCTTTGATACCAACTTATAACATCCCAATTTTCAAGATGAAAATTTTCATTTTAGGATAACAATTTAGAAAAACAATTATAAGAAAACATCATCGAGTCACATCATTTCATAAAACCATAACCACATGTCTCAAAACCATATCATAAAAATAATAACAATGTCAGAGTACAATCCCAAGAATCTCATAATGCGGAAATCCTGTGTGTGTGATGTGCTGCTACTATGCCAACTCCTTCCCCTTCGATAAAGAGGTACCTGAAAACAAATCTAAAAACTGTAAGCACGAAGCTTAGTGAGTTCCTCCATCATACCACATACCACATAACAAACGTACTGCCAGACAATTATAGGGTGCCTGACCTACAATGTCAAGCAATTCTGGGGTACCGGTCTACCTTGTCTGGCAATTATGGTGTGCCGACCTACCCTGTTTGGCAATTTTGAGGTGCCGACCTACCCTCCGGTTTATCTCAACAGGCTACAAAGACTATTTCACCCCTACTACTACCACAAAATAACATAGTGTCGGTCATATCTGGGGTGCCCAACCTACCCTTCGAGCCTTACGATCGTAACACGGGAAATATTCCCCCATTACCTACTATCACATAACATCATATCATGCTAGCGCATAATCATAACAGATAACAACATACCAGATAATTATATAACATTTTATGTAAACCTTGATTGCAATGTAGATGATATGTGAATGCATGAAATGGTAATATTCTAAAATACTTTTGTTTGACATGCACGTGAAATGTCATTTTTTTGAAAATTGGTTTGGTTATAAAAGTAAAGAGCTTATATATTTTTGAAAATGATTAAAGCATCCTACTAGTGCATATCATGCTAGGATGAGTTGTGACTGTGAGATCCCATATAACAAATAGTGTTTATATATATATATATATATATATATATATATATATATATATATATATATATATATATATATATATATATATATATATATATATATATATATATATCATTAAAGAATAAATTTCTAGATAATTCTCACATACACATGGATTCTCGCTACCCCTTGTGTGGTATAGAGTGGTTGTTCCCCTAATTTTCTAATCTTTGTTTGTTTTTATGGGAGAATAGTTGGTAGTGATTACTTGATGACACTAATCATATTATTTATGTATGATTTCACCACCCTTTTCGTGTATGGTAGGGTTATTGTGTTTTTTTGTATGGTAGGGTTATTGTGTTTTTTTTATAATATAATTGTTAGAGTTAAACTTTTAGGGCACGGAAGACCCTTTATTTTGATTGGGTTATTAAATCCCAAAGTTTATTCATTTTATTTGTTGGGTTTGGAGGTCTGATTCAAGTAAGTTGGATTTTCAACCCGTACTTTTAAATGAATTAGCCTTGGGTGACTCACTAGCTAGGAAAATTCATAGTCTAACTTATTTGATTTGTATTTAGATTGAAGGCTTTATATTGAGTTAGGTATGAGCTTGGATTTTTTTAAAACCAAAAAATGTAGTGTATGCTTGAATCTTGTTTTGATATGTTGATCGTTAACAACCTCACTAGTATTCAAACTTAATTAAAGTTTACCATTTCGTGACCAATAGATTTTATGCAAAAATAAATCTGAAACTTTTGGAAAAATAAAAAAATTATTTTCTTGAAGTATGATTTTTTCATAAGCTCTAGAGAGAAGTGTTACATATGAAAGTTTGAAAAAGTCAACATCTATTTATAATAAAAAAAAAAACCTCCTCTATTGCCTATAATCTATACTTTTTTTTTCCTTTTTTTCGGACACTATAAGATAAGTCTTTCAAAAATTTTAAAGTGGATCGTAAAATTCTGGGTATATAATTTGTACTAAATTTTAAAGTTTTAGGTGGGTCAAAGGACTCACCTTGCCATACATTAAACTCGCTCATGGACATAAACTCTTGTAATATGAACATTTTTTAAATCGATTCAACTTAGATAGTTTGATAAGATTTCGATGTGTTTGAACTCTAGTTTTATGTTTTCTTACAAGATGGGTTCATATACACAAACTAACATACAAATGTATGCAATTTAACAACCAAAACTCTAGCTCAAAGAGCTTCAAAAGAAGCTTTATTCCCATTCAGCATGACATTATTAAATTACAGACATACAAGATAACTTACACATTATACATACTTAACACTTATGGGATACTATATCATGTATAATATTGAATCTGGAAAGGTTTGTAGTATGTTTTATTCTAAGTTTCGTGACATACAATATATGTTTTGTCTAATGCATGGCAACAAGGAGGCAAGTACCAACGTCAACATGTATCACCATCCATGCTACCATCCATGCTCCTGTTTATATGCCATAAATAGTAACAAGCGTCAATAAAAGCCTAAACTGTGATTTGAAAAACAAAGAATATAAAACTAAGTAAAACTCATAGAACTATAGAACCACATAAAAATAACTGCATTCATTTATGAACAATTTTTGTGTTCATAAGTGAACATATATATGTTTATGAACATTGGTCGTTTTTATGTCGTTTTATTGTTTTATGAGTTATTTTGGTTTTATGTTAAACCTCTGTGAATTTAAATTCGTTAGCATTTGTAGATATATGCATAAATTCTTTTATATAATTGAAATTACTTAGAATATTTTTTCGATATCCATGATAAAAGAAAATAAATGCATGATATTCGTATATTATTGTTACAAGCATTTAAGGTTATATCTTAAAATAAAAGATTGCAAAAAAATAAAAAATAAAAATCTCAATACATAGGGCCCAATATATATGTGGAATTAGCGGGATGGCTCGCGCATTGCAGTAGATTTATTAATCTCCGACACTATTTTGTAATGACCTCTATACGGCCTATTTTTTGTAATTTTTGTAAAACATGGAGACCATGGCTATAAATTCTCTGTTAGCCATGAGCTATTTGAATAATTTCGTAAAACATAAGGAGAAGTTCTTTATTTTTATGAAATAGAAAGGAAATTTATGTACATGCACTATTATATAGGACTGTTTCTAAAGCCTCCTGAGAGATAGGGACCCTTTCTGTAAATTGCTGATTAGGCAGGCACTATTTCTGTAAATTTATGAAAGAGATTACCATTTTTATAATTTGTTTTATTAAACACGGACATATTTGTAAACATATATATTAAGAAGGAACCATTTTTGTAAAATTACGCACTCTCTCTCTCTCTCTCTCCTAAATCCTAATGGCCTCTTATACAGTGATATTTGATAGATAATACGGATACAATCTGTTGATTTTTTTTGTCAGATCTTTTTGTTAAAAAAACAAAAATATAATAAATCTATCGATATTTTTTTTTCTTCAAGGTATCATATTCTTAATCTATATATCTCTTAGGAAGATTTGAACCAATGATCTTTTATTTGAGAGAGTAAATTATCATACTATTAACCTAATCATAAAAAGATGTTTCCTAATGAAACTTGAACTCATGATCTTTCATAATCTTTTACTTGAGAGAGTAAGATATTATATTCTTAATCTAATCATTAATTCCATCTATATCTCCTAGTAACTCCCATGATCTTTACTAGTAAGACTCCTTACTGCTAGACATTAGACAAAAGACCCTCTTAAATTGGTAATGAAAGTTTTTTCATATACAATATATAGATATATGTGTCCGTAAACAAAAAATTTGCGTCAATGAAGTCGGTTTTTGTGTTCCAAAATGACAACGATACCTTTGCTTACTCATAAGGTCTCTTAATAAATAAATAAATAATTTATGTTTATTTATTTATTTCATCACAATGTATTTCTATCTCTTATCTAGATGTACAAATTAAATGGTGTAAAAATAATTAGTTTTATGTATTCGAATAAATATTAGCAACAACTAAAAAGTCATTACTGAATAGTGGCATACCAATTATAATATGGTTACCAATAAAATCGTGTAAAAATAACTTTTTTTCACAACCTTTTTCAGTATATTTACATATTTTTAATTACATCATTTTATATGTCACCATTTTATTTGTAACTCTAGTTCAGTTTTAATAAATTGAAATACATTATGATACAAAAATTATTTATTAGTCAAAATGTACACGTTACATGTTTAATATTCGCTTTTTGGATTTTTAATTCTATAATAAATTATAAAAATGTGAAACTTGGTTAATTAACAAAATATATCATTTCAAATAAGAATAAATTTACAAAATGTATTTTAACCCACTACCAAATACATATATTATGAATAGAATTTGAAATATATATCATAAAATACTATAATACTATAATTTAATTACTATTGATAATAAATAAAAACATATTAGTAACTGTATTATTAATGCCCAAAAATTTTATAAAAGCATAAGAAAATAATATTTTCTTTTCCAGAGTCATAATGTGTAAAAAACAAAATTAATTAGTAACCAGAGAAAAAAAAATCTACTTAATTCCTTACTCCTTAACAATAATGATGTACCAAAAAGAACGGGAAAAAAAAATTAGGAACCCAAAATGTAAAACAAAACCTTTCATGACCAATCTAGATAAATTAGAATATCTAATAGGTAGATTTCAATATTTTCCCTTCTTTTCAATTTTGCACCACACACAAAACATAGATACACTGGTTCAATCAATTTGTTAATTAGTTAGATAATTACAATTTTCTTTAGTCTATTAAGGGTAGACATTATACAAAGAAATCTTGCTATTTGGATATGCATGATGTACAATTTGTATATTATATAGCCCACTATAATATAACCTGTTATCCGTATTTGTGTGTTGATCTAAACCCTAACTAATTACACCCATTAAGATAATCAAAAGCATATATCATATATATACCTGGTTTTCGAGATTGGAAAACTACCAATCCCCGGGACGTGGAACACGTTGCCATCCTGCAAACCACTCGAGAGCCTTTTTAAGCTCCATTGTTGCAGGTTCAACTGTGCATGTTTGGTAGTGTTGGCTTGGGCGGAATGAGCAATTCCCAGGTTTTAAGCCAGACTGAGTTCCCCCTAAAAATAGGTCTCCCTCAGATACAATGACGCCAGCAGTTGGCGCATTTTTGTCACCAGCCTACACAATTTACAACATAAGTCCCTATGGATATGGTTAATTATGGTTTTTACTTCTATTTATTACCTTTTCAGGGATATATTTAAAAGCCACATTGCAATCGCGACCGGCTTCATAAATATTACACTGTGAGTATATCTGCATGAAGAAGAATAAAAAGTTATTATATAAATAATTTTATTTCCAATCTAATTAATTAACACAAACAAGGATCTCGAAAAGTTGTGTTAGCAATTTAACCTCTGAATCAACACTGGCACCCACAGCATAGATCGCCCAATATCTGGTGTAATTGTTATACAGATGTACTTTGGCAAACCTAACACGTGGAAGCCTCTGACGACTTCCATCAAAGAGACAGTGGTGAATAGTAACACGGATATTTCTGTCATCACAATGAGCAGCGTTTGCTCCAATAAGAATCGTCTTGTCATGGTACCCAAATTTACAACTGCATGCATGCATGAACAAAATTACGACGTATGTTGGTGAAATACAAACAAATATACTAAAGAGTAATTGATTAAGTAGCTGATTAATTAACTACCGTGAAATAGTAACGTCTGTGCTTCCTCGAGTAACATCAATAAGTCCATCTGAATAATCCTTAAGACTACAGCGATCAATCCATATATGCTTTGAGTTTGGTTTGATTTGAATGGCGTCGACATCATGTCCTCTGCCTTCTTGAAACTCTAAGTTGCATATAATCACATGTTCACATTGGGCCAGCCTAAGGCCCATGCCAGTGATCCTAATCCATTGTCCTCGACCATCGATTGTTTTATATGAAGACACGGGTAGAAAAGATTTGAGCTTGATTTCACCCGAAATTTCAAAAACAATCCACAGAGGTTCTTTCTTGCTACATGCTTCACGAAGTGATCCAGGACCATCATCTACAACAAATCAGAAGGCTTTATATATACATGTATTTAATTCATCAATACATGATTTAAACTGTGTAAGTTGTATGCTTAATTTGGTTTTAAGCTACTTAATTTTCATCGCAGGAAAATATTTCACATACGTAAGCACATAAAAGGCAACTCATGATCTTCTTCCAAAACTTTCGGGAATCATCCAAAATAACCACGTATCCACAATTTCGTAACTTAAATTATGTCAAAGCGAACCAATAAGAACAATAACAGTAGTAAACATGGGTTAATTTCCATGTCAAATCAATGATCATGATCAATATGAAAAGAGAATGATACTGATTATGCATGTGTATCTGTGATAAGTAATCAAAGAAAGTATATAGATTTATATACACCTGCCAGAGTAGTAACACAGTAGAGTGCTCCATGAAGACCGCCGGTAGCAAGGCGGCCGAATCCCTCAGCCTGGCCGGCGAGAGCTCGTAACTTACTCTCGCAGTGAGCGTAGGGGAGTGAGACTGGAGCCATTTCTCTACGCGCCTCGATTGTTGACTTTGGTTGGATATGAGGCACGTTTGTTTGGTGAAGGCCGTACCTGTAGTCGCTATTTATACGGTTTCGCTTGTGGTGGAGGACGGGGGAAACTGGGAAAATGCTTCCCCATTAATGGCCGTATGTTTTAACACTAAAAACGTTTAATTTTTACGCACCGGGATTCGCACACTTAAAACGGTAATTTCGATAGATACTATATCCACATTGGTGTCACAAAAATAAAATAAAGAAAAATGATAATCAAATTGTTCTAGTTTTTGATCTTTCATCAAAATTTCCAAATTCATGAAAAATCTCAATTTTAGAAGTTATTTTATCGTAATACATAGTTGTTTGTTCTTTTCATTTGATTATAAAAAAGCAATCAATTTTGTCTAAATTACTTGCAGAAAAAATAATAATTCAAAAATGAAGCTTTTTCTTGCACTACAAGAAAGGTTAGCATTACCGGCGATGCTTTTAGTGGCGACATTAATTGACGTGTTACATGTCGCCGTTATTGTCCGGTGTCGCCGCTAAACGCGTCGCCGCTAATGCTTTGTTACAGCGATCCACATCATACTAACCCCATCCGTCCGATTTCTTTTCAATCCAACGGCTGTAGAGGAAAGCGAAAAGACGCGCTGATTTTTCCCTCCACTGGTCGCCGCTATTGCCTGTCACCGCTAATGCGCGTCACAGATATCCCATTTCAGTTTACCTTTCTGCAATTTCTTTTCTGCACTATTCTTTCTTTCTCTCATTTTTCTCCCATTTCTTTCTTCAATCTTGCTTATTTCTTCCAACTTAGTGGACTAGGAAGTGCCTGTTGGGACCGGTGCTAGCCCCTCCTTCTCCCAAGACCGCTACAAGACCGCCACAACCCCAAAACCGGCAACCCTGAGCTACATTCCGAAATTGCCTCCAATCAAGATCGAATTCCTCCTCTTTTTTATGATTTTTCTGTTTTGATGTTCTTTTAGATGATAAATTGTGAGTAATTTTCAATTTTGTTGAGTGATGATGTTTGTATTTTAAGATATGAAGTGGTTGTGTATTTTATTGGATTATTTTGTCGGATTGTATGCATTTTGTTTGATTGTGTGTATTTTCAGATTTTTGGGAATTTTATTATGCATTTTGTGTATATTTTGTAATTTATGTTTAGATTACATTGGCTTAAAAATGAAATTTAGCATGAATATATACATTTGTTGGATTGTAATTTATGTTTATACCACATTGCCTTAAAATGAAATTTAAATGTATAAATTTGTATGAAATTGAAATATGCAAATTGGATGTATACATTTGGCTTAATTAGGTTATTACTAGCAACTTACTTCTAGGAATGTATTGTATATGAGTTCAAAGTGCTTAATTTTGTTAATGACTTAATATTTGGCTTTAATTGGATGAAATTGGCTTAATTGTAATTTATGTATAAATTTGGCTTAATTGTATGAAATTGGATGAAATTGAAATATGCAAATTGGATGTATACATTTTGTTTAATTTAAAAAAAAAACATTAGAAAAATAATAAATTAATTGTAAAATCAACTTAAAGTAGTTTTAAAATCAAGTTAATGTCAATATTAAAATAAAATAAAATTAGTTTAATAAATTAAACTAATAACAAAAAATAAAATATTAAATTAATTAGAAAATCTAATTAATTTACCTTTAGAATCAAATTAAGTTACCTTTTATAAAATCAAATTAAATCAATTATAAAACCAACTTAATAGAAACATACTTTTTGTGACTTAATATTGGTCATTACAACTTTAGCTTTAATTAGGTTATTAATAGCAACGTACTTCTAGTAAATTTAATTTAATTATAGAATAAAATTAAATTAATTTAAAAAAACATTAAAAAATAATAAATTAATTGTAAAATCAACTTAAAGTAGTTTTAAAATCAAGTTAGTGTTAATATTAAAATAAAATAAAATTAGTTTAATAAATTAAACTAATAACAAAAAAGAAAATATTAAATTAATTAGAAATCTAATTAATTTACCTTTAGAATCAAATTAAGTTACCTTTATAAAATCAAATTAAATCAATTTTAAAACAAACTTAATAGCAACATACTTTTAGTGACTTAATGTTGGTCATTACAACTTTAACTTTAATTAGGTTATTAATAACAACGTACTTCTAGTAATTTTAATTTAATTATAGAATAAAATTAATTTAATTAAAAAAAACATTAAAAACATAATAAATTAATTGTAAAATCAACTTAAAGTAGTTTTAAAATCAAGTTAATGTTAATATTAAAATAAAATAAAATTAGTTTAATAAATTAAATTAATAACAAAAAAAGAAAATATTAAATTAATTAGAAATTCTAATTAATTTACCTTTAGAATCAAAATAAGTTACATTTATAAAATAAAATTAAATCAATTATAAAACCAACTTAATAGCAACATATTTTTAGTGACTTAATGTTGGTCATTACAACTTTAGCTTTAATTAGGTTATTAATAGCAACGTACTTCTTGTAATTTTAATTTAATTATAGAATAAAATTAATTTATTTTAAAAAAACATTAAAAAAATAATAAATTAATTGTAAAATCAACTTAAAGTAGTTTTAAAAACAAGTTAATGTTAATATTAAAATAAAATAAAATTAGTTTAATAAATTAAACTAATAACAAAAAAGAAAATATTATATTAATTAGAAAATCTAATTAATTTACCTTTAGAATCAAATTAAGTTACCTTTATAAAATCAAATTAAATCAATTATAAAACCAACTTAATAGAAACATATTTTTAGTGACTTAATGTTGGTCATTACAACTTTAGCTTTAATTAGGTTATTAATAGCAACGTACTTTAGCTTTAATTAGGTTATCCCGTGTTGGAATACTTTTTGAATCATCAACTTTATGAATACTCTACTTGATTTTTGTTTCCCGTAAAGTAAACCTTAAACACTAAATTATGTTTCAGTTGTATCGTGTCTATTGATAAAAGATGGACTACTAATCCACATCATCAATCTCCTGAGTTCCAGCTAGGGCTCGACACTTTTGTCGAGAGATCCATGTTACACCTAGATTGTAAAGATGAAACCAAATGTCCGTGTGAGAAATGTGATAATCGTTACTTCATGAATTCGAAAGCAATGAGACGCCATGTTCGTATATATGGTTTCAGTCAATCATACAAAACATGGATATATCACGGTGAACCTTTAATCCCTCCAATTGTAGATGTTGTATTGCCAAGCAACGAGATGGTTGATGTTATTGACGATGTTATGTGGGAGTCGAGAGAAAATGATACAAACCTCGATGAAGGAACCTCGAATACATGGGGTAGTGGTGTCAATGATGATTTTGAAGAGTTCTTAGAGGCAGTCGAAACCAAGTTATATCATGCTTGTACGTTTTCATTCTTTGATTTTTTAGAAAATCTGATGCATATAAAGGTCAACAACAAATGGACTGATAGTTCATTTGATCAATTCCTTGAGTTATTGCATTCGACATTTCCACCAGACAACAAGGTTCACCATTCATATTATTTAGCAAAAAAGAAACTAAAGAAGTTAGGTTTGGGATATGAGTCAATTCATGTGTGAAAAAAAAAATTGTTTTCTCTTCTGGAAGGAACACAAGTCATTGCAAGTTTGTCCCGTTTGTAAAGAGAGTCGGTGGATTGATAAAAATACCAAGGGTAAGAAAGTGGCTCATAAAGTGTTACAGTACTTTCCAGTGGCCCCTAGACTATGCCGTTTGTATTGTTCACGGTACACTTTAAAAAATATGATATGGCATAGTATTGGGAGATCAGAAGATGGTGTGATGCGTCATCTCGTTGATGGAGAGTCTTGGAAAATTTTTGATATAGATTACCCTGACTTCTCGAGTGAACCTCGCAACGTACGATTAGGGCTGGCAACAGATGGCTTTAATCCATTTAGTAACATGTGTAATCCGCATAGTATGTGGCCGGTTGTATTCACCACTTACAATTTTCCACCATGGCTTTGTATGAAAGAGTCATCATTCATGTTTCCCTTGTTGATTCCCGACCCTAAAGCGCCTGGAAAGGACATAGATGTTTTTCCTTAGGCCGTTAGTGGAAGAGCTTAAGTTTTTATGGAAATCAGACGTACGCATTAAAGACATAGCGACAAACACATTCTTCACGATGAAAGCTATGTTGTTAGGGACAATAAACGACTTGGGATCTACCATCCGACAATGCTCATGTCCAAAATGCTTAGAGTGACTCTGTCCAAGATGTCGACAATGTGGAGGCCGAAAATGTTGACATAGTTCAAATCAACTCTTCATCTGGAGCAAGAATTTTTATCGACTTCTCACAATACTTTCAAAACAATGTTGACGTAGCTCAAAACAATGCTGATTATGAAGATGAAGACGAGACTGAAGTACCTCCGCCAATGGGTAGAATCGATAATGTTTCCGATGAAGAGACTGATTATAATGATGGCGATTCTGATTATGATACCAATGAAGAAGACATTGAAGTATATGATGAAGATTCTGATTAAAAAAAGAATTTTTTTTTTTTTTTTTTTGTAATAGAAACTTTATGTGAAATGTACCTTTAATTCATATTGTTTGTCTAACTTTTATTTATGTTGTTTGTCTATATTGTATATCTTACAATTTCGCAGGGTAACTAACTTTTATTCATATTGTATTTCTATATTGTACATTTTGTAATTTACAGGTTGCAGATGAGGTTTACTTGGGCGATACTCTTGGCCATGATGGTCGATGTTATGGGGCTTGGACATGCAGGTGATGGAGTCGGGGATCCACCACATCCAACATGCTTTGGTCGTGGTTAGCACGAACAGGATGGTGAGTTTTATTATGATATATTTATTAACTATTTTTATTATTTTATAATAAGTTATCATAACTAATATTTTTAATTGTATTTTTTCAGTCGAACTTCCAAAAAAAAGGAGCATGTCAAAAATATTGAGTTGGGAAAGTTGATAAGGGCAAATAAGGGAAAGCCTGTAGATTTGGATTCGACAAGGAGATCACATATTCTCCTGTCGGAAAGCGTGGTAATTGGTTCACACATGAAATTGAGAGGTATTTGTGGAACAATGTCCCTTTCAACGTATTTGGTTAGGAAAATGTTTTCCCCGCCTTAAGGAACGCGGCAATTATACATCTAAAGGTAACTTGGATACAATTTTAAGTTTAGTTGTGATTGTTATTTAATTAACTAAATTTTTTATATTTTGCAGAATAAATTTGATTTGGATAAGCTTAACATGGATCCGGAGCGTGCTCAATTGTTGCGGAGCATTGATTCG